TAATTTGTCAGGTAGCTGATTCAACACTACAGTTTTAGTGCCATAAACCTTTATCAAACTCATTCAACTGCAGCTATATGCCAAGTAATTCATAATGGAAAGCTCAGTGATGACTTTGAAGTGAAGTGAAGACAGGAGTAAGATAAGATTGCCGCCTACTATCACCCATCATCTTCCTGATTGTGGTTGACTGGACTAGACTCAACTGGATCATGCAGCAAACTGTGAGGAGCGAGAACATGAGGATACGCTGTTTGACAGATGAAAAGACTCTAGGAGAAGATTTAGATTTGGCCCATGATGATAATTTATGTCTAATGTCTAGTGTCACACAAACTCGAAGATGTACAGACAAAAACGAACAAGTCGGCAGGAGAGGCAAAGCGAGGCGAGGCAGCGAAGACGAAACTTCGTTCAGATGAAGGTAGAGAGGACACAGGTGATGAAGATACCCAACCAATAGCAAAAACATCAACAACGCGAGAAACCCAAACGAAGTTGTCTTTTTCACCTACCTACTTAGGCAACATCTGCCAACTGAAGGCAGCTGTACAGATGAGGATGTCAAAGCCACGATCAGAAAGACAGCAAGATAGGCCTTCAACAATCTGAAATCAGTGTGGAGATCTACTCCACTCCACTCAGCATAAAGCGTGAACAAGGTTTGGATTTTCAACACTAATCTTAGTCAAGTCACTGCTTCTATGTGATGGTTGAGAGATTTGACGTGTTACGAAAAGCATTTACAACAAACTGCACACACACATCACATCAACAGCTGCCGTCTACGCTTGCTCTCTGACACACTGACACTCAAGATCAGATCAGATCAGATGAGAAGGCGAGAAAGAATAAGCAAGAAGGAACTCTGGTCTGACAACGAACCAACCAACCGAGAACCTATCACCCATCAACTATGCGGAAGAAGAAGGTGGAGATGGATTGGATTGGTTTGGATGTACACTGAGAAAACCATTTGGGGACATCACGCGTCAGACCAGACCAGGTCATCGAGTGGAAGCCGAATGGGAAATGACGAGTTGGGCGTCCCAGCTGAGGGTGATGTGGAGGAGATGGTGTGAGGAAGAAATGCAGGCCTGCGGGCAGTCATGGAGCCAGGTTAAGCAGACTGTAGAGAAGGGAGTGAAATGGCGACATTTTACTGAATCCCTATATTCCACTAGGAACTCATGGGACAAATAATAAATAATCATAATAATAGGATGGTGATGACCACAACTAGCTCTTCCATCTTATTTATACGTCACCTGTTTCAGCTGATAGGTTACTTGAAAACAGTTTGCCTTGTTTTACGCATGACGCAATCTACTCAACCCAAGCGTCGCATCCATTAACTTATTCTCCATAGTCTAAAGTTTTTAGAACATTTACAATTCAGAATGTATGCTACCTAACAGAAACTGGTGGAGAAATGCACAAATCCCACTAAAAAGGACCTCACCATCATAGAAATACTTAAGACTACTGACAAATCATTTAGATTTCACCTGTTCATTGCCTCATCACACAATGTTGGCCGAAGTAGGTCCAGGCTGGAAAAAGGCCTGAGTTGGTCAGACTAAAACATGGCACCAGTGTATGAAGTCTCTGACTGTTGGTTTAAGCCATGTAGGAAGATGCAGACTAGATGGTTAGGGTCCACAGGACAAGAGGAACTAGTGGTTGGAGACTCTACGTGATATGGCTCAGAACCGATGTCAATGGCGCAGATGCATACACACACACACATTATCCTCATCTTAACGACGCTATATCGAATCTCGCCATTTTGTAATTCTTCCTTTCTTTCTTCTCGTACTTTAGATTTCTTTTGACTGCATTCTCTTCTCTTCATCCTTCACCTCACTACCTTTCTACTTGATGTACTGATATGAGGTGTGGCAACTCGGACCGTTACGCAGTAATGCCTGGTCCTATGTTGATATTGATTGATTCATTCATTCATTGGAATTTAATGTCATATGTTTTTTAGGAATATTTATTACTGTGATCTCGGGGAGAATATGAGTTCGCATTCTAGTTACTGAAAAACAGAAGAGTCTTTAAAAGGTTCGTGTAGTTAGGAAGTCAACCAGTCAACATCAAAATAGTGGCTAGCATTACCTTATAATATGTCAAGTTGTTACACACTATATCAGCACATCAAATAGAATGGATCAGGATGAAAGATAAAGAAATACAGAAGGAACGAATCCAAAGTGTTATGAAGTAGTCAAACGACAGTAAAGAAGAATGAGATGATAATGAAATTCGGAATGACGCTAAAGACGAAGATAATGTGTGGATGAGTGTGCACTATAGAGGTGAATTCTAAGACATCATCAAGAGTCTCCAAACACCAGTTGTGGTTAACAGGCATATCTTAGCCAGGATGTCTGGGTTTCCCTAAGCGGCTTACATTAACAATCCAAGACCTCAGAGACTGATGGTATGTCTAGTCTGACTACCGAGCAACTTTTTTCTAGCCTGGATGTGTTGCAGATGATATCTTCTGATGGAACAGATGGTGACAAGGCATATTTAACACTTGTCCGAACCGCCTGGCCAAAACCCTACACCTGACCTCTGCGTCACTGATGCAGTTTGAGCTGCGAAAAATGTATGCCAAATATTTTTAGAAGACTCTACATCTTGTCAGCGTCTCCACCTAACAGGACTTCGTCATTTTCCTACCCCAAGTAATCTCCTATGACAAGGTCTATCGCTGTGAAGTCAAATGTAAAGAGAGAGACTTCAATAAGCATGTCTATGACAAAATTAAATTAGCAAAGAGAGATGACCATTCTTGATGGACACACTAACTAGCGCTTCATTTAACCTCACTAATAGTCCTCTACCACCAACTTTGAATACTTCAACTTTTTCAGGAGTTGGAGGGTCTGTCTCACTGTTCCATTCAATGTTCGACTGGACGGGGTGCAACAAAACAGTAGCTAAAGGTCAGCCCAGCTATTTCTTTAAGTGTTCCACCAAACTGTCCAGTCGTCTCTTCTGCGCGTAAGTCGTAGACTTGTCATTGCCACTGCCAATTTTTCGCCAGTTTGACCAAATCTATCTGAACAACGGTTTACTATGACTTATCACCACTATCATTTATATCTACTTAGAGTTTGCAACCCACTGCTGTGCGTAGTCATTACACAGAGTCTTTTTCTGTCTAAATTCCAGTTGCTTCTTCTCTTTTCAGCATACTTGGAGCCTTCAGAAATACATTCACTTGTCGAAACCCACTGACCTTATCTAACCTCTTTCTCAGAGCCGATTAAAGTTTTCAGTCCTGTTTCTAAAACAGACTGGATATGTATTCAGGTTTCTGCTGGATATGACGTTATCTGCGCTTCGAATAGTCTTACGGTTGTAGTGTTTTTGTATCTGATTAAGCGCAAACTAAGGTGTATTGCAAAAAACGCGTGATCATAGTTCAAGCATAGTTTCTAGAAAAACTCTTTCGATCCACAGCTCATAGCTATATGGTCTATCCTTCCCCGCCGACCAGTTGAGTTTGGTAGGTGCCACATCAGACAATGTCCCTTCTTATATCTAAAGTTCATTCTGACCAGAAATAGGTGTTATATGAGCATGAATTTTGCAGGTGATAGCTGTTATCCGAATTTTCAACTGGGATCCCGAAAATGATACATAAGTGTCTTTGTGCCACACAGCCTGCCCACTTGTAAATTGAAATAATCCGATATGATAGCGACATTTAAAAGTTTGGCATTCAGAAATAGGGTGGGTAGTTTCTGTTAAAACTCATCCTTCACTTCTTCCGAAATGTAATCAGTGGATGTGTAAGCAGACATTACAAAGAGACAACGTCGTCCTACGTTAGCCAGAGGGTAAACGATTGCTATTAAATCTCCCGAAACTCGAAGGATTCGCCAAATTAGCCAGTGAGGTTAAGTGAGTAACGCAACTAGTTCCTGTATGTGTCTCGCAAAATAGACAGGTGTCCATGGCCAGAGATTTATGAGTTGTAGATAACAAAGCTTGCTAGCCGAATCGACGGAGAAGTGAATACTGAAAACCAGAATTTGTAATTTGTAATACGGTTTCAGGAGAACCAGGATGCGTTTCCATGAGGTTGAATCGTCATCAAGAAACAAAGAACTGGACAAAACTGAATATGATATAGGAATATTGACCGACAGACGGAAAGAAAGACTAAAAGATATTGGCATTAAATGTTGGTAATGATCTGATGAAACTAAGAGCTGACAAAGTTGTGAGGGACGTTGGCATTTCCCAGCTTTCTACACCATGGAAGGTTACGAACATATATATTGTCTTAATTACCAGGACAAATAATAGGTTATCCAACTTACTTTGTCGACTAACCTGAAACTATTCCATCTACTTTATTAACTTTCAATAAAGCCAATCACTCTCAAAATAACACAGCTGTAGTGTCTTCCAAATGACATCACCTTGAGTGTTTGAGAGAATAAAAAGCTGTCTTCAAGGTTCTGAATACTATTTTGAGGTAAGAACAAATAGACAGTAGGCATGTAGGCATAAATACCCGTTAAGCGCTTCTATATATCTGTTAGGCGTCTACAGTTTACATGATGGTGTTAGATTTAAGGAATCAGTAGAAAAGAGACCCTATTTGATCTACGTTTCAATCCTATTCAGAGTCATCAATGAGGTCCATCTTTGAACTTTATGATACTTAAGCTATGTAGTAGATTAGAATTTGAGTTAACGATACTAACCGTAGGATATCAAGGTTATGACTGCACTATACACATGAGTTGGTTAACGAATAATGACCATATCTAGTGACTATTGATCATACTTCCAAGTACGTTTCTTTATTGGTAATGTGAACAACTAACGCTTGTAGTGTTATCCCTGGAACATATAAAGAGATGATGTCATAGTTTATAGTCATTCATACACTTTACTGCTTAATATTATTTCAGCGACAAGAATTAGCTTAATGTCACAGAAATATGAAGAACATCATGTATCGTTACCTCAGCTTCCGGATGATCTTTTAATGCCTTCAATATATCATCCCGTGACAGGACAAAGAGTTCAGCATAACCAACAGCTCGAACATCAGCAGTTCGCCTGAAGTTTGAAGTAGAAGAAAAAATGTTTACATAGAAGATAAATCAGTATGTGTTGCTAATAATGGTCCTAGATAAAAAAGAACATCATTAAAATAGGATGACTTAAGATTTTTATAGTAATTAGAGAAACTAGTCTTTGGGAGAAAGGGATCGCAGAAACATTACGAAAGAATACTCAATAAGGCTGGGATTAAAGTGCGTGGCATCTAAAACCATCGAACTCGCTTAGAAACAAGATTTTCAGGTTAAAAGATCCTATCGATGCAATTAAGCGAAATAATCTGGTTTACTACCAGATACCTTTGCAATGTTTGCGGGGCAAAGTACATAGGTGAAAGTAGTCGACCAGGATCAGTTACAATATCTGAGCACAAAAACTTCAGTAAATCAAGATTAGCAGATCCTAATAAAATAATAAATCTAGAAAACAGCTCGGTTATAGCTCTGCACACCATTACACAAAACCACATAGTAGGGTAGGATAGAGCGACAGCGTTGAAAACTAACCTGGTTGGGTACAAGAAGAGATTCACAACTGAATCTGTGAGATAATGGAGATTAATTGTAGCTCAGGTGGGTGGTTTCAGTTGCATTGTGTTCTCTGAACTAGGTTGTTCAATCATACAGCTTTCATCGTCCTTCTTCTAGACACAGACATCATCAGCACTTACTTCACTATGAAGTGAGCTGTCAATATCTCTCCATGAATCACTCATTAGCTCGACTTGACAAACTGGTTCGTCATTGCTTGCTTCCTTTGATTGTTGTGTCATCCACTGCATACATTTGCATGTTGGCCGGCTCCTCATCTTCTTAATCTTCTTCACCTCTCACCTTTCTCTCACTTTTCATTTTCCTCATCTGTTGGTAGATTGGGTCTACGTCTATACGTCTGTCGGTTGCTGACTGACTGATTGACTGATTGACTGACTGTCTGACTCACTGACTGTCTGTCTGACTAACTGATCTGAATGACAAGCCTCCAGAAACTCCCTGATATTCTTTGTGTTTCCTCTCTCCATCCAGAATTTCTACACTGTCCACATCCAATTCATATGCATAGTTGTTATCCACCTGCACTGAAATGACTGATGAGATGTCATGTGTGACGTTTAGTAGCTAATCGGTGCTCATGTAAATGACGAAGGTGAAGAGGGTGACCACTCTGTCCAATGTAGTATTGACTACAGTTATTCCAGTTGATTTTGTAAATGATGTTCGGTTTGTCGTCTATGGTTGTTGCATTATTTGGTCTGCATAATGGTGTTTGTAGGGGATTTCTTGGTTTGTGAGCCACACCAATTCCGAGATGTTTCATTAATCTTGTTGTGATATCTGATATGTGTTATTTATGTATGGTGGGATGATGCATTTGTTGATTTCTGTCGATATCTGTGTAATTGATGATGTATGAGATAGGCATCTCCTGATAGAGTTTCTTGGATAGTCGTTCTTCTTTAGGGTGGATATCAAGTAATTTTCCTCATTTCTCCATGAAGTTGTTGTGCTGCAGTGTGTCCTCACTCTCTTTTGAATCGAGTCCGCAAGCAACTGATTTTGTGTGTTGTGTTGTTGTTATTGTAGTTGAGGATTTGTTCAGTGTGTGTTGGCTTTCTGTGCACTTTGGTTTCCGGAATTCCAGCATTTATCCTACTGACAAAAACATTCCAGGAATGGTATTTGGTTGTTTGACTGTTTCTCCATTGTGAATTTCATGTCATTGAAAACGTTGTTGATCAAACTGTGCTTGCTTTCCATATCATCCTTTTTCAGTGATGACAAAAGTGTCGTCTACAAAACGAATCCAAATTTTTGGTTTGATCACAGGTAGAATAATGGCTTCCAGTCTCTGTATCACTGCTTCTGCAATTAATCCGAATATCGGTGATCCCATTGGAGTTTCTTTCATCTGTTTGTACATCTTGTCGTTGAATTGGAAGTATGTTGTCAGACAAAGGTCGATGAGTTCCATCAGACTTGAACATTTGAGTTTTGTGCTTTCTGAAAGATTTTTGTCTTCATTGATCAAGAAGGATATCGTTTCCTTGTCCAGTTGAAGTTCGATGGATGTGTATAGTGCTGTTACATCGACAATGTAGAAATTTTTGACAGGGAGAGGAAACACAACGAATGTCAGAGGATTTCAGAAGTTTGGCATTCAGATCAGTCAATCAGTAATCAACAGATGTGTAGACAAACACCCAATTTATCAACCAATAAGAAAAATGATACACGGCAAAAAGATCAGAAGTCAAGAAGAGGAACAGCCAACAGGAAAGTCTATACAATCAGTGACACAACAAAGGAAACAAGCAATCCAAGACCACGTCATCAGAGCAAGCCACTTGATCACTGACGAAGATATATTGACAGCTCACTTCATAGTGAAGCAAGTGCTGATGATGTCTGTGTCTAGAAGAAGGACGATGAAAGCTTCACGATTAAACAACCCAGTTCACAGAACTCAATACAGCCAAGATAACTGAATCTGTGTTCATCGAATCAACACCAAATACATGCAGTAACAGAAATGATTGTGCACCTGTCCCAGATATATGGAAAATTCTACTACCTTTGTCATCGCAGAGAAGGATAGAAAATTAGGAATATATAAAGTGTGTCTAGAAGTTTTGGAGTTAGTCACCTTATATGAATATGAAGAATCAATTGTGTCCGAAACGTTATCGAGTAAATGATACTGTTCCTTCACTGTGTGACATTTCTGACAAACAGACTGAAAAACGTGTTTCATCAGTTTACATTTAATAATATCTACTGTGTTCTTTAACTTGGGTCTAGAATATATTTCTTCACTATCGTACTTTTGTAGAAGTGATACTAAACAATAGAATCAGGAAGAGAAATGAAACTGAAGTTTTGCATAACGGTTTTCTATTCAGTTAAAATTTGCATTCCTACATTTATAAGAATCAACTATTATAGTGTGGCAAATATGGAAATAAAAAGCTAAATCAAGCGTAAATTGATCTTCGAAATTCTCATTACAATTCAAAAAAAACTAGTTGAATGAACAAAGAATGTTCCTTTCGATAAATTCTTCTTCTTCTTCTTCAAATTCTACAGTAATATGTACATATTAAGGAATTACGCATCACCAGTGTACAGAAATATTTCGCCTATCAGTTTATTAATATTATTATACAGTTTGGGAAAACGATTCAGAACAGGCCAGTGTGAACATTAATGAGGTAACCAAAATGATTACTCATCTTCTAAAAGAGTATACGGCTTATGTAACCTCTATAAGGTGGTAGCTGAATAAAACAATAGGAAGATGTTTACGACAGTTGGATGGAGTAAACTAAGAAGGATAAAATAGGTTTGGAGAATTTGTCGGAATTATTTCAGACTACGGAGAAGAAGGGGTATCTGGAGTATGGAATTAAATTATGTGGGTTAGGATGCTAATGAATTTATGCATGCCGAATAGGGTTACGGTAGGTATCAAGGGTTGTAGTTGAAATGATGCTGCCAAGGTAGGTAGGTAGGTAGGTGAAAGAGACAATTTCGTTTAGATTTCTCCCGTTGATGATGATTCGTGCCTCTTGCTGTTGTAGTCGTCGCTGTTGGTTGGGTATCTTCATCACCTCTATCCTCTCTACGTTCACCTGGAGGAAGTTCCGTCATCATTCGCTGCCTCGCCTCGCTTTCCCTCTCCTGCCAACTTGTTCGTTTTTGTCTGTACATCTTCGAGTTTGTGTGACAGTAGACACCAGACATAAATCATCATCATGGGGCAAATCCAAATCTCTTCTGGAGTCTTTTCATAGATCAACTAGTGTATGCTCATCTTCTCACTCCACACCATTTCTTGTGTGATCAAGTTGAGTCTAGTCCAGTCAACCACAATCAGGAAGATGATGGGTGATAGTAGGTGACAACCTTGTCCTACTCCTGTCTTCACTTCACTTCAAAGTCATCACTGAGCTTTCCATTGTGAATCACTTGGCACATAATATATAGCTGCTGCCAAGTCAGGTCGAGCATGGTCACTGTTATGAGCTATTCTAAAAGCACAATAAAGCTACATAATGGCTATAACTGGAGATTGTGACTTCCAGTCTACAGGTTGAATACAAAATTGGTCAATGTTCCTTCCAAGTTAGTAGAGTAATAGCTAATTTTTTCCGATATGCGGTGATGAACGACATTTTTTCAGAACCCATCAAAGTTTACTAGTTCTTTTATTGCTTAACTGCGAATGACGTCTTTTTCTTAATCAACGAGAAATTTGCTAGGTAAAAAATGATGGTACAAGGCATAGAAGTATTTGAAAAAAGGATTACCCGCAGGTGGGGATTAAAACACAAGCTGTTGATAATATTTTTATGCTTACTGGGTCACGTTTTATAGAAATTATCTTGTGGATCGCATTCATTACCGAAACTAAGAGTAACAGGTTTAACTCAGACAGAGATTAAGCGTGTAAACCATCAGGATCGTTACATCACGACAATGTTTAAGTAACGTTTAAACTACACAAAGTCACTCTAAATAACAGCAGTTTTTGGTATATGCTGTTTTTATGATATAAGTAGCACTGTATTTTCAATCGAGCTTTTGCTACTTCCTGTGAAATACTCACCGTACAACTTACCTATATACTAACATTGATCCTACATCATGATAGTCTACACCTGTGAATCATTTTGTTATTTTATGTTTCTCAATTACCGTTAACCCTGAAAACAGCACTGCTATGACAGAATATGTAAGACAAGTGGTATTTTTCGAGAAAAAGTTTAAATTTCATTATGAGTCTTCTGGTTCGACACTTAAGAATGTAATTTATTCAGTAAGTTAAATTTTCAACCAGAGGCTTAACAAAGGTATGAAATCAATTGATTTCTTGACAACCTTTAAAATGAGAACAATTTGATGCTAAATAATGATGTGTTTCTAAATGAAGTTCGCGAAGTTCTTGAAGGAGGCTGTGACCTTTAGGGTCAACCAATTGACATGTGAGGACAAATGCCCGCCGATGGCATTAGATGATAGTCACGCTGTATCAAAGATTGAAAGATGTAGAAAAATAAGAATGATCGGATTCTGACCCGTTGGTTGAGTGTTAATATCCTATGTGTAAGGTCCAGCACTCCAAGGGTTCAATAACTCACGTGGTTGTCATTGTACATTGCTGAAGCCTCCTAAGATGAAATAAAACAGCTATCTGGTGCCTTTGGTTCTTTGATGCTTCTCTGGTTGATATCAGTCCGTGGCAAAAAAAAAACCAGTCTTAAATCGACTAGTTTGCCACAAACCTCCATGTTGAGTAATTTGTGCGGTTTACTAAGCATCTGTAACTAATTGACATATGCATGAAACTATAGAAAGCTACTGGAAATCTTTTTGTAAGATATCCGCGTTTAGTCTAAAGCGTGACAGTTTTCAGCAGTCATTGAACGTAATCGTTTGCTTTCAGAAAGTGAACTACATCAACTTTAGGCAATTTTTAACCATATTTCACTTCGAACCATAGTGCTCAAATTAATTCAGCTAGATGACACTTCCAAAAATACTGTATCATAAGAAATGAAGAAAATTGCTCAGTAACAGCCGGAAAAAAGAACAGTTACTCATAAAACTTTAGAAAATGTTTTTCCAGTTCATTATCAACCAATAAGTCATTCAAGAAAGTCAGAAAACAGTTTGTTCCATTCTACAAAAAGAACGTATCAGCGTTGACGATTAGACTACTGCGGTTGTTGGAAACTACTGGCACTCAAACATCTAGATATTTCCGCGCAATATTATGCACACAGAAAGACACAAAATTTGAGGAAGATGAACCAAATATTATCAAGATAACCAACTTCAACGCCTGCATTCAACACAACAGCGAACAACGTGATCAACCTCTTTGACCTTATCTACATGAAAATGAGTTGACAATTAAGCGTCATAATATATCATCCCTCGCAATCGGAGACATGAAGTCGACTCTCAGAATGCAAAATTTTAGACAGAAAATAAGCAAAGAATAGCTAAGATAGAATTTCTTGAATTTTGGCATTAAGTCAATCAGTAGTTAATAGGTGTCCAGACATTGACACAATCTACCAACCAATCAGGAGAGGAGTCATCGGCTACAAGGTCACAGATCAGGTAGGGAAATAGCCAATAGGAAATTCTGTACAATTACCGCTACAACAAACAAAGGAAATGGTCAATCACCCATCAGTTAGTCAGGCTATAGATCAGTAGATCGGACATAAAGAGTTCTTGACAGATCACGTATGTTCGACATTAGTGCCAACGGTTTAGCATAGAAAAATAATGAAGACTTTACAATGAAACCATCGAGCCCACAAGGTACTAAAGAAGCAAGGTCAGTGTTGATGAACAACTCTGCCTTTGATGAAGTAGTGAGATTTTTCTTCCTCAACGGTTTGCTGATCCAAACAATATCGAATCTCAAAGAAAATAGGTTGAGTGGCGAATAGGATCTGTGGAGGGTAAATTCACCTGATATTTTCAATATAAGACTTATTTACCTGATTTGCAACAAATAGTATTATTATTTATTTATCATTATTTGTCCCTTGAGTTCCCAGTGGAACATACCACTTCAGTAGCACACCTACATTCCACTACCTTATCTACAATCTTTTCAACCTGAATCCACAACTACCCACAACCTCTCATTTCCTAATCACACAATCTCCTCCATGTCAACCACACCTCAGATGCACAACTCGTAGCTTCCCAACTGGGTTCAACTCGAGTGACTGGCCTGATGCATGATGTCCACAGTCGGCCTTCTCAGTGCATGACCAATCCATCTACACTTCCCTCTGCATATTTCTGGAGTGGTAGGTTCTTGGTTGGTTCGTTGCCTACCAGCCAGTCAGCCAGCCAGCCAGCCAGCCACAGTTCCTTCTTGCTTATCCTCCTTATTCTGGTCATCTGAGCTTCAGTATTGAGCCAGTGTAGGCAGTTGTTGATGAATGTGTGTAGTTTGTTGGAAATACCTTTCGTAACGCGCCAAGTCTCTGAACCATCACATGGAAGCAGTGACTTGATTGAGATTAGTGTTGAAAATCCGGATGTTGTTCAGGCTTTATGCTGATTGGAGTGCAGTGCAGAATATTTCCACACTGGTTTCAGGTTAATGAACACCTGTCTTGCTTTTCCGATCCTGGCTTTGACATCCTCTTCTGTGCCGGTGTTTGTAGTTGAAACGGTCCTACGTAGATAGGTGAAAGAGGCTATTTCGTTTAAGTTTCTCCCGTTGATGGTGATTGTGGCTTGTTGTTGTTGTTGTTTGTGGTGGTGGTGGTTGTGTATCTTCATCACCTCTCTCTTCTCTACTTAACAAATGGTAATACAATATTATTTGTTTGATGACGTTTCGAGCATAAATTATCATTGTTCATAATCATATCAATGTAATCAATAGTACTTTGACATTTGATTTTTATAGTTCTGTCACCTCATGTTCTTTTTTTCTATTAGTGATAAAATCTTCCATATTTCTGGTATTGGTGTTGCGTCATCACTATTACATGTGTTGGATGCTGATTGATTCCATGAGCAAAGCTCCAATAATCAACCTCCCTGTTTCTTCACCAAATTATATTGGACTTGAGTACAGTGGTTTTATCCCACCCACCCCATTGTGTAGTTGTATATTAATCTATACACTGTAATAAACAAGTTACTTTCTAGATTATTGATCTTACTGGGTATCCCGGTCTATATTTAGCTGAATTCCCATCTTCCGCTAATCTAACTGACGCGGACTGGTTAGTTTGACCTATATACTTGACCTGGTAGTCATTACAAAGAAATTTGATAGATTAGATTATTTTGCTGAATTGGTTCTATCGGATGCTTAAGCCAGCCGACAAAGCTTATCTTTGAGTGAGCTTGCAGTTTTAAATACCATCCTCATTCCAGCTTTGTTGAGGATCCTACGTAAAGTTTACTATGTGCCTTCCTTATAGGGTAACACAATGGAGGCTGTGAACTCCATTCAATAAAAATCAAGTGTCGAAAGTAGTGTTCTTACAGTGATATAAATATGAGCAGTGATAATTTATGCTCGAAACATGCTCATCAAGTAAATGATACTGTATCATTGCGTATTATAAATTAAATAAACAAATCTAATATGGAATTAAATTCTACCCAATTCTGCCCAAGTTTTTTACTTATAAGCATGATATTTCTTTGAATTATTATCGATCCTAATATTTAACCATTCAGGATTTATGAGGGTTCAGAAAAGAGCTTTCTATCACCATTTACTATCAAGTATTCAAGGGGATTTATTACAAACAGATCTGCCTACATTGGCTAGCATATTGCCAGCGATGACATGAAAACTACACCGGTTGCATCACACGAGAAGTGGCTGTGATAACTCGGTAGCCTAGATGAAAATATCCTGGTATTCAGAGCGATCGGTTCTGTATCCGAGTCTTAGTGGCTCCCTAGTAGAACGGAATCTGTGTCATGAATTTCATTTTCAGACAATATGAATCAATTTCAACTTTACGTATTTATCTCCACTCAACATATGAATTGAATGCTTACAAACAAAGTTATCAATTATCTATAATGATCTTCCCACTTATTCCTGAGTAAACTATCTAATCCCATACATGCTGTGAATTCATTAGTTCAGCCTAGCTCATCCTTTCATGTCGGTTATTGGTTTAAAGCAAAAGTACATCAGAACTGGTTAATAAGTATCAACTTATTCACTGAAAATTTTAATAAAGCCATAGCGAACAGTTTTTCAGAATATAAGTGCCCCAATTTCCATAAAACATTTACCGAAATAACCTATAAACATGGTTTGGTGAAATCAATCAGGAGGAAGAAAATAACCATCCCAAGAGATCTATAGGAAAGAAAAGTAGTGAAATGTATCTTACAGCTGAGAAGATTAGGTCAAACGAAAGGCTTATATACAGACTGGTATACGAGTGGGATCAAATAGCAAACAAAGTCAAACAGAACTTAACAGAAAGGAGATTATTACTTTTTGTATACGACAAACATTCAGGAAAGATAGGTGCATAGATGCATGTCCCCTTCTACATTAAACTATTGGAGAATATTTGTAGTTCATGTGGGTTGTTTCAGTTGTATTGTGTTCTCTGAACTGGGTTGTTCAATCATGCAGCTTTCATCGTCCTTCTTCTAGACACAGACATCATCAGCACTTACTTCACTATGAATTGAACTGTCAATATCTCTCCGTGAATCATTCAGTAGCTTTTCTTGACAAACTGGTTCGTCATTGCTTGCTTCCTTTGATTGTTGTGTCATCCACTGCATACATTTGCATGTTGACCGGCTCTCCATCTTCTTCATCTTCTTCACCTCTCACCTTTCTCTCACTTATCATTTTTCTCATCTGTTGGTAGATTGGGTCTACGTCTATACATCTGTCGGTTGCTGACTGACTGACTGTCTGACTCACTGACTGACGAAGGTGAAGAGAGTGACCACTCTGTCCAATGTAGTATTGACCACAGTTATTCCAGTTGATTTTGTAAATGATGTTCGGTTTGTCGTCTATGGTTGTTGCATTATTTGGTCTGCATAATGGTGTTTGTAGGGGATTTCTTGGTTTGTGAGCCACACCAATTCCGAGATGTTTCATTAATCTTGTTGTGATATCTGATATGTGTTATTTATGCATGGTAGGATGATGCATTTGTTGATTTCTGTCGATATCTATGCAGTTAATCATGTATAGAGTAGGCATTTTCTGATTATTATCCTCATGTACACTTATTTGTCCGCCAAGAACATCGCTTTAGCCGGCTTTATAATTAGTATTGCATATAAGCTTAAAATTTTATTGAACTCACCGATTAATTCCATCCAAATTGAGTACACCAATTTCACCAAAAAAGTCACCTGTACTCATTGTCGAAAGTACTTCGTTTTCTTCACTACCAAGCGAAAAAAGAAGAGACATAAAGCAATCAAACAAGTAGAAATAATCTTCTTCTAGGTTGAAAAATATCTACTTCACCTTACAATGTTCTAAAACTGAATATCAGTCCACTTGTTATGACACAGCTGGTTATTTTAACAGACGATCAGAAATCGTCTTAACGTCTCTTACTTTGAAATTACTGAGCATAACTAATGATGAGAATACATGATATAACTAAGGTTTGGTAACCTGAGTTTCACTCAACTTACATCGACCACTTAGATTGTCTGCGTGGGGATTTGTCAGCGGCTAGTAATCATTTACTCATTGTTGCAACCTTCACCACACAGTAAGGGATACATTTTTGCCAGTTACTATGAAATGACCGATAACTTTACTTTCCACACCTACCATTGCAAGCTAATAATATTTAGGTGATATAAACTATACATTTATTGATTGTTCATTTGTAGAATGTCAGAGGATATTTTGTGACAAGTAAATTGAAGGAAAAGCAGTCGAACAGATGTAAACGCAGCTTAGCCTTAAAAAATGTGAATTTGTCCGATATACTAAGTAAAAATCAGTTTCAGGAACTTTTTAAACATTGAATACTCAAAGCAATCAGCAGTTAGTACACACACACCAAAAAATATATTCAATATACCAATGTAAAAAAAAGACACCCACAAATTCATAGATCAGCTCAGCGAAACAGCTACTCAGAATATCTGTTCATACAGTGCTGGTAAACCTATAGAGAGAATTAATTACAACGAAAGTTATCGGACCATGTTACTCTGTTAATCAGAATTCCAGTCATAGAATAATGATTACACTATTCAATTTCTAGGAAGCAACAATGTCACATCAGCCACAGAATTACCATTGAACACAAGCCGTCTGACAAAAATGGAAGTCCTGAATGTTATAAAGTTGCCGAAATCCGAGAAAGCAGCAGAACCAGATGGAATCCGGCCAGAAGCACTGAAAACAGTCTCCGCACGAACTGGCGCAGAATTATGCTCCATTCCTGTCCCCCCAAAGCTAAATATTATGCCACATCATCCTGGAGAGACTAAAGGATATGCTGGATTCAAAATTATGACCAGAACAGTCAGGATTCAAGAAGAACATATCATGTGCGAACCAAATTGTAACACTACGCATCTTCATAGAACAGAGCATAAGATGACAGCCAACTGGATCTCTAGCTCAACCTTATCGACTTCGAAAAGGCCATCGATCAAGGCGTCGACCGACAAGTAATTTGGCAGGCAGCTGATTCAACACTACGGTTTTAGCCACACAAACCTTTAGTAATCTCATTCAACAACTATATGAAGAGACTACATGCCGAGTGATTCACAAGAAAGCTCAGTGATGTCTTTGAAGTGAAGTGAAGATAGGAGTAAGACAAGGTTGTCACCTACTATCACCGATCATCTTCCTGATTGTGGTTGACTGGAGTGAACTGGATCATGCAGCAAACAGTGACGAGCAAGAAGATGATCATACACTATTTGACCGATGAAAAGACCACAGAAGAAGGTTTGGATTTCGCAGATGATGATGATTTATGCCTAATGTTGCACAAACTCGAATATGTACAGGCAAAAAATGACAAGTTGACGGATGAGGCAGCGAAGACGGGACTTTCCTCATGTGAACGTAGAGAAGACAGAGGTGATGAAGTTACCCAACCAACAACAACAAGCACCAATCACCATTGACGGGGGAAATCTAAAGGATGTAGTCTTTTTCATCTATCTAGGCAGCATCATTTCAACTACAGGTTGGACGGATGAGGATATCAAAACCAGGATCAGGAAATCGAGCCAGGCCTTCACCAATCTGAAACCAGTGTGTAGATCTACTACACTCCACTCAGCACAAAGCGTAAACAAGATCCGGATTTTCAACACTAATCTCAGTCAAGTCAGTGCTCCAGTATGGTTCAGAAACCGGGAGCGTCACGGAAAGCATTTCCAACAAACTGCAGGCACACATATGTCGACAGATGCCACCTACGCTATCTCAGTCGATGCTAAAGATCAGATCCGATGACAAGAAAGAATAAGCAACAAGGAACTCACTGTGGCTGACAGCCAGTCAAACAACAACCTATCGCTCAACAAATATGCAGAAGAATGTGGAGGTGGATTCGGCATAAACTGAGAAAACCGATTGGGAACATCATGCGTCAGATCATGGAGGAGATCACGTGAGGAAGACATGAAAGCTTGTGGGCAGTCATGGCACCAGGTTGAAAAGACTGGAGAGAAGGGAGTGAACTGGAGACGTGCTACTGAGTCCCTATGTTTTACTAGGAACCCAAGGGAGAAATAATAATAATAATGTCACAGTCATTTTTTTAAGTATAAATATTTCTCACTGCCTCAACAGTTTAGCCATGAACACTATAAAACAGTTACATATTACTGTCACTGACCTAATGTGTATCTGAATGATGTGAAATTATTTCACTATTTGTCATTAGATTTTTTGGTTATGTATTTGCCTAAAATCCCTATGAATTCTCATTCCTAGTGTTTTCCTCCTAAAAATGTTGAGATCATAGGATAAAACTTATTAGGTAATATCCATTACAGACTTATATTAGCTGCAGAATCGTCGTAAGCATGTAAGCACTAGACAGCTATTTTATCCTAGTGTAGGATTCTTCACCAGTAAACACCGGCTACCCCATGGGGAATCGAACTCATCAACTCCAGGTCTTGTGAATATCTCTAAACCCTAATTTAGTGTAAAGATGAAGAATTTTGTTTAATTACCCCTTTAATAAATCTCTGCAAGATATTCCAAGTGAAGTATCATTTTGTTTAAAGGCCATATGGTAAAATTTGGTCCGTAGACTTCGACTATCTATATCAGTTAAACAATAGTGGCAAACTGATGGAGTACATTCAGTGTATACTTACTCATACTAAGGGTTAAAAAAACTGAACTACTTTCTCTGGATCCAGTCGAAGTACCTGCATTTTAAGCAACTGACCACTTGTAAAGTGTACATAAGAAGTCATTCTACTAATCAGTAAATAAATCCCCATGGTAACAGTAATGATAATAATGAGGCGAACATTTGAATAATATTCGATAACGGCCTTTGCTCATGTAAAGCTTATCCTTCAGTGGTGGAAACGTTGACCTGTGGACAAGTTCAATTTAACTTTATAAATTACGTTAAAGGATGAATCTAGAGGAGCTGAATGGTCTACCTCCATTAAGTGTTCATATATGGATGACGTTGATTTTCTCCGCTCGCCTTTTCTAAGCCAAACCGTGTTCCGTGTTCTAGTGACAAATCCTATCACAAAATCAATACTGCCATATTGTATAAAGATGGTTGGATCTTGTAGCTTGAACGAATATCAGAAAATCACTCTCACATTATCTTCAAAGGTATATTCGTTAAATTTATCATGATCATAAATCAGATATCGATAGTTTGTTCAAATAATTGTGATTTTATTTCAAGGTGATATTTATGCATCACAGTTGGAGAAGCATCGAAAACTATGGAGTACTGGGAGGCCGTTTCGTTTCACTATACTACTCTTCAGCAGTAAACATCTATGACCCCATCAATGAGCGAACTCAGGATTTTCACGTCTCATAACAAACAGTCTAACCATTCAGCCAATGGGTGAGAATACAGTAGTCCACCTGACATTCCTGAATTCCATCTATGATTGGGTTGTGGGTGCATACTGCTAGAGAGTCGAGTAGTAGGATGAAACAGCCATCCAGTGCTCTCAGGTTTTCAATGGTTCTCTGACTAATGTCAATCCGTGAAAATTAAATCCTCAAAATTACAAACCCCATCAATTTGTAAATTGCATTACTATGTAGTGCTGGTTAGTGACACGCTTCTAGATGGATATTCGGAAGTTTTCATGAGAAACCATGACCTATGGGGTCAACTATTTGGAAGGGAAGTGGATTCTAGGTGAAGACTTTATGTGATTGGCACTCTATATCACCAACTAACAGAAATTGGAAAATGTAAACCATTGATTTCAACCAAGCGACTAAATGTTTGACGTGTTCGCCATGAAAATTTAAGATCCATGGTGCGATCCGTAGCTGGATTGCGGTTGCCTTCAGCTAAGGAGTTTTACACTAGAACAAACCTGCTATCCAGTACTATTATGCATACTAGCTTGAAAAACCACTAAATCCGCATAAACCCCTAAATTCAGTTAGACAGAAGACAGTTTCTTCTGATCAATAAAAGTTTCTGACATAAATATAATGTTAGAGTCATCGAGATAGCTATTCCTGATAAGTAGTGATATATTTCTCTCAATTATTGAATTTGATTGACACTCTTTCAGTCATATGATACTTAGCGAAAGTTAATAGGTGCCGTCAAATTTGTCTTTTTATAAGTAATGCAGAGATGAACTTGTTTAAGATATGAATCTGTAACTTCAGTAAATATGAGGTTTGAAGTTAACAGTTTTCTGTATAGTTACCGATTGATTTTATTATTATTTGTCCATTGGGTTCCTAGTGGAACATAGGGCTTCAGTAGCACGTCACCATTTCACTCTCTTATCTGTAGTCTGTTTAATCAGGCTCTATGACTGCCCACAAGCTTTCATTTCTTCCTCAAACAAGATCAACTACATGTCATCCTTAGATGCCTAACTTGTCATATAATTATCGATATAGATGTGTATCTCAGACTTGGATTAAAGTTTAGTTTAGTTTTAATTAGTGGGTCGTTTTTCTGTGAAATGCACAAATTTTCTGCGCAGATACATGTGTATGTTAGTACTAACACTTTCCTAATAATTGTTATACTTGATCGAACTGATCTATGCGGAAGCTTTAATGTTACCTTGAGATTTATTATCTGGTAATTTGCTTGATAGTGGCTAGCAGCGCATTTCATTTCACTTGCAATTCCACAGCTAGATGCATTGAGGAACCCGCATAGAAGTAGATATACTAACAGAGACCGGCGTCTATGGTGCAGCATAAAAG